ACTTTAAACTGTTCTGTTTTACTTACGATTATATCTGTACCATGTTTGGATGTTTTGCATGGATACTGTTCCCAAAATATTATTCATTTCATAAAGGTTTGTCATGACCCCAAAACTATACCGAATTTCCTGGGCAAACGTCCATTTATAACCCTCCTAGTTCAACCTGCTATGTGATCGGAGTGGTTCTTAAGATAAATTAAGATCAGGATTCAAAGCACTATGCACGTTAAGGCAGTGGAATATTGTGGACCAATAAGCTCAAGTATGGGGCACTTGATAAAATGCAATTTGTCTGCAATGTATTTAAAGCCACCCTCCTTTTCCATTCTTTTGAACCCCTTACTCTAATTTTCAAAAGAAAGCATGTATTGAGGTCAAATTAACAGCCTCCTGGGAATACAGATATTTATCACATTTCTGCAGGCCTCCTATTTAAAAGGTCTTAATCATTTATCTGTATTCTGCATGTGGCCTGAAATGTGCAACAGTTGAATATTTAGTTTCTAGTTTACTGGCAGAATTGATCAGCACCTAATTTCCCATACAAGATTTAAAATGCAGAAAAAGAAACCATGTAATATGAAGTGTAGCATTACACAACAGGAAAACATTTTATTAGTTGGGAACGTTTCAGCCGCAAGATTAATCAGAATATTCATATGGCCGAAAATGAACGCCTCACATTTTGCAGTCTGAAAATCGGCACACCTGAAATAATCAGAGTCACCTTTACTATGGTAAACCAGGTCTGTGTCAAGTGAAGTGAAACCATCGCTTCTCATTTACGGCACGGCAAAGTATGACAGGACCAGTCACCGGAGGTGCCGTGCCAGCTTCTTTCGTGAGAACTGATGCCCTCATGGCCGGTATCTTATCTTACAACACCTTTGACAACGGGCACTTATGAAACCATAACTGAAGACGCGCCCTGCTTAAGGTCCCCTGGATAACCCCACCCCACGCAGCCGTGCGTGTGCAGTCACCGATTACACTGTGATTCAGTAGCCTGCTCTTGCACTCATTACTAAACGTTTATGTTTGGGGCAGCACGAGCTGCTTTGCGCCATACCGTCACTCCCGGTCACCTTCCCCACACCCACACGCCGCATCACAGTGACACCAAACTACACCCAATGTCACACAGACTGGAAAAAGAAACAAATTTATAAATAAACCTGCAAACTGTAATCAGCGGGGGCAATTAGAATACGAAGGAGAACATTACAGGCTCTGACCTCATTTAGGAGTTCATATTTGTCCTTAAATGAACTTTTGCAAAAGACTGTACTCTTTGGCTTATGACCATGGAGAGTCATTGAGAAAAGGTAGAGAAAAGATTTAAGGTTAAATGCATATACTAAAATAAATGGTTATATTACCCACCTTTGGCCTTCTTATCAACTAAATAATTAGAAGTGAAAACTTTAATACATATATCTGCAGAACAGCATCTTTAAGGTCGTTTCGTGATTATGGGTGTTATTAGCATCGTGCCATTAATACTGCACCTTGTTCAGGTGCGGGTTTCTTGTGATGTCATAGCCGCGTTTCTTGGTGCTGACGCTGCTCGCGCTCCGGTACCCGGCATGCTTCCCCTGGCCCACGAGCGCTGCGACGCCGCCGGTGCTACTGGCAGCATGTCTGCACAGTGACAGAAGACTCCTGCTCGGCAGAGAGTTCATATCTCCTGTTAACACAGAGAAAAAAGAGGAAGGGAAGGGGAAATCAGAGCAATTCATTTGGCTTCAACCGACCTATTCAATCTCACAGGCTCTTTAATAGCGCATCCAAACGTTTTCCATGACTTGAACCGAGAAATACTGGTTATGTTACTGAAAACAGTAAACAACACCAGGCCTAAGAAATGCAGCTAGCCAACCGCTAAGCTACAGAGATATGATCATTAAAAAATGTGCATGAATGAATCGTTTTTTCTTGCACTCAGCCGTGATGGAGTAACCGGCAACATCCTTCGCAACCTTTATTGCTCACATCAGAAATGACGTCTTTGCACTGGCTATGTCTGTATAACAATAAAGCATCTGAGTTAGCTGTAGGTTTGACTATGCACACATTACCGGGTACAAGCTACTACGATACTTACGCACCTCAAAGCGGTCGGTCCTACAGCGTTACGGTCTGACGTCCTGCGATGGGTACGCGCAGCAGCTATCGGTTGCCAGAGTCTCTGGAGGTTCGATCGGCGGATGTTGCCGTAACCTGCCGAAACAAGCTGACCTGCGTTTTTTTCTCGCTGTTTGACATTGACACTTACACTTCCCACTGGCTGGTCCAGAACGCCCGCCCCTTTTCGGAAGTAACCAATAATATTGAGCGCTGAGGGTGCACGTGCGCTCACGCCTGCACCCTGTTATTTTCAGGATGCGCTGGAGGAGCGGGAGGGACGTTTTATCGCTTTGTCAGCACTTTCCAGTGTGACTAAACTGAGTTATTACCTCCGTAATTTGTTTTTATTTTAAACTCAAATTTGTGTCTAGGAACACAACGGGGTATGTTTGCTTCTGTATAAAGTGAATGAACACATATTCGATATTTAATTTATTAATACATAAACATTGCAAGTTGCATATTCCCCAGATCTGCAAGCCATGGGAGGTGTTAAAACCATGCAACCGTAAATACATTTTTTTTATTAAAAAGGGATAATACTTTAAAGGTGTCTAACGAGTAGCAGGTCAACTTCTGATTTAACTGCTTTTGTGAGTGATGTTTGCTGATTCAGTGTGTTCAGGTTAGTTCCCTTATATTGATGAAAATGTACTGTCATAGCAGCCGATAATAATAATAATAATAATGATAATAATGTGAATGTGTTAGTGAAACCAAACTGGAAATTCCGGCAAAAAAGTCTACTGCTAAGTTATACAGACATATTTAAAACAATCGATAAAGTCTATGGAATATAGTTTACTCAGATATAATGTCAATATTTAATATTTATAAAGTCTACCAATCTTTCAGCTCCAAAGGCTGGGGTCCACCCTGGATAGGATGAGCGTCCATTCCAGGGCACCTACACACAAAATGAGCAACTCAAGCACCTGCCTGCACATCTTTGACCTTCAAGAAGAAAACAGAGAGACCATTTGTGTCACAGGGAAAACATACACAGAGCAGAGGCGGGGTTCAAACCCTCTGGAGGTGTGAAACAGCAGTGTGACCTACTGAGCCAGCAGGCTGCGCTACAGGCAAAGTTTAAAAAAGTAAATATAGGACTTTGGGAGGCAGTTAAGTTGAAACACTAAAGAGAAAATATTTCTTTAAGCTATGATGATTTTGCATAAAGTTTAGAAATCAGTAGGCAGTGGCTTACATCTTCAAATGGAAACTGCATCATTGGAACCTTGAAAAGGGGGCTGAATTTTTGTTTATAATCCAAATTTCCCACAAATCATTGGTGCTACAAGGAGGCATCTCAATGATTGATTAATGGTTGACAAGTTGACACAGATTCCTTTCACTGGCAACATGGGGAAAAGCAAGACATTTTAAATCCCCAGTGCTCCTTGTACCACCATTAGATACAGACTCCTGTTACAGAATCATTGGAAAAATTACTTAATCAGAGATTTGTCCCATGGACCATTAAACAGCTGTGGGAAATTCAGCACTGGTGTCCTTCATGTTCCAAATGTATTTTTTTCTATTCACTTAGCATTCCTCTTCTTAATTTCAGTGATGAATTATTTCTCAAACTAGCCGCTTTTGCAACACACTTTTGCAACTTGATGAAACATGTCAGAGAATAATAAATACAGATATTATGTTCTGGTGCAGTTGACAAAGAGAGGCTGAACATGGCATGTTCTGCTGTCCCGGGTGCTATTCCCATCGTATGGTGCAGCTGCATGACGGCCACGGACTTAGAAAGCATAGGGGCCCCAGGGAACTTCAGAGCTCGCTTTGTTACGCTTGTGGTGACTGGTAGCTAAAACATATGAGCTGAAGTCCTACAGAAGCATAATGAATCTTTGGTGAGGAAGCAGCGGCATATTTGTTTCTGGCATCGGCAGACATTCCAAGTGGAGCCGTATGACTAACTGCAGAAGAATGCCAGTGTCAGGTCACATGACCTGCCCTGGCTCCGCCTGCATCTCCAGGCCAACGCTAGTGCTGAATGCCTATTGCACTGGCTTTCACTGGGGTCAGATCTGGACCCCTGGGGGCTCTGTCTGGGGCAGGAAATGAAGCCAAAGGAACACTGCGAATCATCGTTCACCGACCCTGCTGGACACTGACCGGTGAGAGCGGCGATGCAGAGCCGTCCTCCAGGGAATCTAACTTACCAGCCATTACTAAAGCCCCACTGCCACCAATATGGAGGGAAAATATGTGTTTACATCATCTTCCCGAAAAAAAAGGAGATGGAGTGATTCAATTATGAGAAAAAGGTTAAACAATAACAGAGAGAATCTTGGGAGTGAAACTTCATAAAGGCCTTTTGATTTCATTTGGGAGTGGAAACCATGACAACCACATGCACCACCCAAACGATCCCAAACAACAAATGTTACTTTTCATAACTCAGCCCATGTGACATTATAAGAGGAGATAAACAAGAACACAGAGACATATACACAGAACCACATTACCGTGGTCAAATTCAACCAAAACTGAGAGGACACTTTGTCACATAAACTAAAGACGACAAAGTGCATGTTTGTTCCCATTATTGACCTCACAAATAAACTAAACGTTAAGCTCCCGTTGTTTAGTTAAGAATAGGGAGGAAGACCCTCAGGAAGGAGGTTTAGAGTGCTATGGTTAGCCTGAGTTGGACTACATTCCTGACACTGGACTGTAGTTAAGATGCCTCTGAGGGGGTAAGCATCCACATGGTCTAGCTGATGTCGAAGAACGGGAATTGTGCACTGAGATATTTTGCTATTAGGATGCCTTTCTCCTGAGCTGGTTGTTTAGAGGCATTGGGACAGTTCAGCTGGGGGATGGGGGTAGGAGTGGTGTACTCTGGGAACACTGAGTCTCTACAGAGGAAAGTATTCGAATGGCCAGGAGCTCTTGGCTGGCTGTTCATGGTTCCCACAGTCCTGGTCTGTGTCAGAGAGAACACCACAGCAGTTCCGAAGGAGTAAACACCTCCCTTTGCCTTCCCTTTGCACTGGAACGTCCACGAGCCCATCTCTCTCTGTGCTTCATTCGCATGCAGTGCAGTTGGTTATGGCTGCACAGCTCACAGACTCTCACAGCCCTGCAAAAGCGGCAGAGATGTGTCAACATCCATCCGCCCGTCATATCGACGGCTCTCGAGGGAGCACACCTACGTTCGGCGGCTTCCAGCGAGTGTGCCTGTGTTTCATTTATCTACAGTCATGTTTCTAATTCCCAAGCACTCCCCAGCTTGTAAATCAGACATCTCAACATAGAAGATGCCAACACCACTCATCAATGGCGACAAAAGAAATCTGGATGACGTTTTTTTGGTTTAAGCAAATGGCTTTCAGGTTTGTGTAACTGATACACTAAATCACGTTAAGCTGTTTTGCTCAGAGTTATAAATCAATGATGACTCATCAGAGGTCACACTCTGGATGCTGATTCCATCCTTCCACATGTTGGCCTTGCCGACGAATAAGCTTCTAATTGTATCCATGGGTCACATGATCTTAATCTATACTGAAATTAAATATGGTGATTCTGACACTATGTTTGTACTTGCTAAAGTTCAGGCTCTTACAGAATTCCCTGGCTATTAAGAAGGAAATAAAGTAGTTTTGGTTGAAGGGAAATTAGTTTTCTAAATCAGTCGGTAGATGATTCTTTCTTGAATAGCTTAGGAGGTAACAAGTTTGCCTCCCACCTCCAGAATTGGGGGCTTGAATCCAATCTGTGTTAGTACTGTATATACGGAGTGTGTGAGTCTGTATGTCAGGTTTCCTTTGGCTACTCCAGTTTTCCCCTGCAGTCCAAGGACATGTTAGGCTAATTGGCATCAGTAGATTACCCATTGTGTATGTGATTGTGTGAGTGTATGCATGTGCCCTGAGACGGATCCTGTCAAGGGTATACCCAGCCTTTGCTTCCTGGTTTAAGTTCCAGGCTAATGGATATTTCATTCTCCTCTGGTAATACTACAGGCCACACTGAGTTAACAACATAATGCCAACAGAGTAAACGGAGCTTTATTGATTAGCTTTATCTTAATGGCTCAAACAAATCTAAACCCGTCACTCAGGACCGCGGAAGACAGTCATGTTCCATCCTAACTCATATCAAGTGGCCCTTTAGGGTTATCTCAGTGCTATTCAAAGCTGACCTTCTACTGGTTCAGTGTGTTAATTATGGATACAGATACTCATTACAACGATTTGAAAAACTGATAAGTTTGAATTGGTGTCTGGACCCTCAATATTAGTTCATTCTAAAAATCGATAATACAGAACTAAAGGATTGCTTAGCAATAAAGTGTATTTGGTCAAATGCACATATTACATTGTAGTATTTGAAAGCTAATTAAAAGCATACAGTGCACTACAGTTTCCTTGCCCAGGAAAATCTGAATAATTACACGCTGAAACTATGTTAGATAAAGCGTTAACAAACCCTGGTTCCCATAGATGCTCTGGCATCCTGCCGGAGCGGCTGGCGGTCACGTGACCGAGGAGCGCGCTGGGTGTCAGCGAAAGCTGCGGGTTCCAGTGCGTTTATAGTGCCGTGTCAGTAGCCCTTTCGGGCTGGCGGATAAAGACATGAATATGAGGAAGGGATATGAGCATAAAGATCGCCCAAGGACTGCACTTCTAATCCTCCCGATCTGTGTTTCAGCCGTGGATTCTTTGCACAAGTCATCCTCATTATAAATCCCTTCATTGCAGGATCCTCCCGATTACGCCTGTTTAAGAAATCTGCTGCTGTTCACCTGCCAAAAAAGTCAGGTTAACACCGGTGAGTTTTTTTCTGTTCCGCTTTATTGCTTCACACATATTACAGGAAGAAATCAGAACGGGGGACTTTTTTTTTTCCAAATACTGCGCTATATTTAAAAAGCTGCTTAGTGCTTAACGTTTTGAAGACACCATCTTAGGGTTTTCTGGTAAGTGAACCCCACTAATAACCAGAAATGCATTAGATTTATGGCCGTAATTGCACTATTGTAATTGTAATTGACTGTTGATTGCAGATGATCGCATTGCTTTTTTGCATGGTAAACTTTTTCCTTTAATAAAGAATTTCCATACACATGCAGAATCAATCGAAATGAATCAAATACAGTTGGCTATTTGATCGTATTTTAATTATAAATTTGGTTAGTCATATATTCAATATACTTTCCGAGCTTTTAAGGACTGAACAGAAGCAACTTGGCTAATCTTGTTCTCACAATAAAAGATCGCTTTGTTCTAACAAAAATTAATCCTCGAGAGTCATTTTCGTGAACTGCGGTATAATTTTCCCGGCCCTTAAATTTTCGTTCTGATTTTTGGCGTTACATAAAATTCAACCTTAACCGGTGCTGTTCGTGATGTGTGTTACAGCGTTATCAAATATTTTAACTCTGAAATCTGTAAATTAATATATATAATTAGAATATAGATGCTAATTTATCATAAGTAATCTAATTTCTTGCACTTCACCCGAAAGAAGATTGTAATCATAAAACCGTATTATGTAGATAGTAACAATAAATAACAAATATAGCATCAATATATTAAATATCAGATAGTTGTGGTAAGTATTGGGTTACATTCATTCCATTAAATCCATTCCTGTAGGATGTAATTGCTTCGGCGTGTAGGCGTACGGCACAGATTCTTCAGAGTTTGGAAAATGTCCTACTGAAGAATGGGGCCCTTTAACCAGAATATCAGGGGTCCAAACTCACATTGGCCGTAGGAGAGACGTATTCCGGCTGCGTTTCTAAATACAACAACCCTTAGAAAGAACAGCTTCAAAGTTATGACCCTCCCTTCTCCTGAATGCAACAGTGTAATGGTTAATGGAAAGCAGGGGGGTCAGATGCATTTTGAATGTGGGGGGGACACACTGGCGGGGGGTGTGGGGACCCTCCCCCAGAATTTTTTTAATGAATTAGATGCCGTATGTGTATTCTCATATCGATCAAGGGGAATGGATTCTGTCGCGAAGCAATAGAAACAGTGCTGGGTGAACTAATATTTATGTTAAATGTTAATGGCGGCGACACCCATGATGGAAACTGCACATTGAGCCACCCCACCCGGGTCACAGCCTGCTTGCTGACAATACCTTATGTTTCTGTTTTCCTGCTTTAAAAAACAGCAACATCGCCGCCTTGAATTTTCCGCTTGTGGGGCGGAGTGGAATCCTGCCACACCCACTGACCGCTTTCTCGAAAGCCGATAAATTAGTTGTCCCCTTCGGTAATGCCATCGATAATAATTATAAAAGAAAACTGCGCAGCCGTGTTGGTCTTAAACCACAAGTTTTCCCCACGATGACGGAAGATTGTATAACTTTAAATGTTGTTGTTTTGTGTTGTGCTTCAAATATGCATGTGACGCTGGTTGGCGACGTAGGCGACCACGGCGCAACTTCTAGGGGGCGCCAACTTGCCAGCCAGTTAATTTTGACTCAGACAGGATGCGCCCGCGGTAATCCCAGGCTAGGGTGCCACATCGGCTAGGATCCGCACTGAATGCTGGTACTGCTTAGAAAGACAACGTAAATCTTCATGATATGTTTTAACACAAAGAGTAGTTTCATATGCAAACAGGTTATTTATCAGGAGCCATTCAGATCAAATATTTGCTCTAAGGTACAGCAGTAGGACCCTCCAGGACTCAAAGCAGCAGCCTTTAGGGTAACCATTTTGATTGGGGTTGAAACCCCACTAAATAGGGCCTAGAACCACCTATAAGGGTAACCATTATTTTACCCCGGCACTTACTCACAGGGCACTAAATACAGCTGGTAGGGAGGGGACAATAGCCTTTTTATTTGCAGCGAGAAAAATCTGTCTTCAGAGAGCTTCTGCTTGAAACGGCAATAGTGCATCTTCATATCTCAGCCGGAAGTCAATGGTTAGGAATAAACTCATCAGAAATAATTTCCCCACCTGCTGCAGTCAGAGGCTGCATCCACTCATCTCTCCTTGTACCCTGTGACCTCCAGGTGCTTCCTCATGGCTCCGCCAGCTGCCTTCCTGCCTCCGTTCCTCCTGCTGCTCTGCAGTAACATGGGCGCCTGCATCCACAGCACCTCCTGGAGGCTGCAGTGGCCACTACAGCGAATGCCCGTGGTTGTGCCCCACCAAACGGCGGCGATACCCACCCCACACTTCCTGTCCCAGGCTCGCTTGGAGGTGATGTCCCAGTGCGGACTGGAGTGCCACAAACAAGCCCCGCCCCCTAGCTACTGGGACCTGCGGGACTTCCTCTCCTATGAGACGCTGCATTCCAACGGCAGTCTCATAGAGACAAGCGTGGGCATCTATGGCTTTAACCTGGCCAGCCTGCAGGAGCCTGCTGCTCAAACTCGAGTGAGGCGCCAGGTCTATGGCCACGACAGCCGCTTTAGCATCATCGGGCGGGACTTCCTGTCCAACTACCCATTTTCCACAGCCGTGAAGACATCCACCGGGTGCTCTGGGGTGCTGGTAGGGGAGCGCCATGTCCTGACAGCGGCACACTGCATACATGATGGCAAGAACTACGTCAAGGGGGCCCAGAGGCTGCGGGTGGGCTTCCTGAAGCCACAGCAACGCAACCCCGCACCCTCCAACAGCAGCAGCGCCCCCGACAGGATGAAATTCCAGTGGATCCGCGCCAGACGCACCCACGTGCCCAAGGGCTGGATTAAGGGCAGCGCCAACGACGTGGGCATGGATTACGACTACGCCCTGCTGGAGTTGAAGAAGCCACATCGACGGCGCCACATGAAGCTGGGGGTAAGCCCCCCCGCACGGCAGCTACCCGGCCGCCGTGTGCAGTTCTCCGGCTTCGATAACGACCGGCCGGGCCAGCTGGTGTACCGCTTCTGTGACGCACGCGACGAGACCTACGACCTACTGTACCAGCGGTGTGACGCCCAGCCAGGCGCCAGCGGCTCGGGGGTCTATGTCCGCATGTGGAACCGGCATCTCCGACGCTGGGAGCGCAAGGTCATCGCCGTCTTCTCCGGCCACCAGTGGGTGGATCGCGAGGGCGACCCCCAGGAGTTCAATGTGGCGGTGCGGATCACACCCCTAAAGTATGCCCAGATCTGCTATTGGATCAAAGGCAACTATGTGGACTGTAGGCAGGGGTAAAAAAAATTGCTGAACACTCATCCCCCCCCCCCCACCCATGTATCAGGGAGCAATGTCAAATTCTGCAATTTTTCTACTTCTAAAACTGTAGCCAGAATATATATTTAATGCCACATATTGTCAGCATTTCATAGAAGTATTCACTCTCACAGTCACAGGAAAAATTTTGAGGGGCAAAAACTTTCAAAACAGCGAAAAGCAAAATGTTTCGCAACAAAGTTGAGCAAAACTGGCACCTGGGAAGAATCCAAAGTAGTGAAATTTCCATGGCACCAGTGAGACTGCGTAAAACACCACGCACACACAGTCACACAAAGCGCACTCTCTGTAACTGGGGGAATATTACGCTACATATCCCAGAGAGCTCTTATACACTGGACAGTGGTTTTTACTTTGCCCTACCTAAAAAACAACACTGGATAGCTAGGAGCCTCCTCAATGCCCCCTACTGGTTACACATGTCAGTGTTCTCACCGCGGCACAATGCACATCACAGCTAATAACTGTGATAGGTTCTCACAGCACAGCCACAGCATTCAGTGACAGAGAGCAACCAGTTCCTACCCAGAAACATAACTGAAGCTTAATGACATCCACTTTTAATAGTCTTTAAACACTCTAACAGGAGCATCTACCACTTATACTTAACCGAAGGTGCCATTACTTGCTTTAAATGGTAAATATATATGCAAACAAATAAGAATGTACCGATGTAACTGTTTCTCCCTTACATTTCTAAAAATGAAGATTGTATGGCAGAACCTAGGAAACGGCGCCCTCTGCTGGATACAATGCGGGAGAAGGCAGGGCATGTTTTATGTATATTTAAAAACCAAAGAAAAAAATGCAAGCTGTTCTTAGTAATCATGTTCTTACAAATTGCACTATTCTATGCTTTGTCATTTTGTTTGTTTTACTAATAGAAATGAAACCGATGACCTGTCTGATGGGGGTTTTTGACAAGCTATAGCATTACTGGTGCACAATTAAAGGTTTTATATTTGGGGACTTTCATGTTTTATTCTGATTTTCCAGTTTTTAAAAGATCATTTTGGGCTCCTACTGTGCCCCCCCCCTCCCCCAAAGCCCCATAATCCAACAGGCAGTAGATTTGTTTCAGGGCCTCCACTAAAAGTCACTTTGGGGTGTCTACCCCCCAGATATTTGAAAAAGAAAAAAAAAAAAAAATAGCGAGAAGAATCAGAAGATCGCAGGTGGCTAACTGGTTAGCACATGTTGCTTCAGCATCTCCTATATAACGCTTATTTGGTTGAAGTTTATTTAATAGTGTAATGACTATTTGTGGCCAGCAGGGGGCTTTGTGGTTTGAGTAGTGGCAAGCACAGCTGCTGCATACATGAACATGCAGTTACCAAAAAGAGCATGATAGACAGATGGAGTGATATAGATATATGCTTAGGATTGAGACAGAGAGACAGTTTTGGTTTTTATTAAGGTCATTGGCATGATAAAAAAAAAAGTCGAAAGACCACGTGGTGACCTCTGTCCACATAATGACACCCGAGGTAAAAAACAAGGACATGCCAGGAAGGCCTCCCTGCAGCCCCTGACCACCCGGCTGCGACATCTGCAGCTTGGCACTCGGAGTCCTGGGCTCTGTGCCACAGGAAATCCTGCCACGGCAGCTTGGCTCTGGGACAGAATCCCATGGTCCGGTTTCCTCCCAAACACAGTCAGCAGGTGTATCCAGGCAACTCACAGCTGTGATTCGGCAAAGATCGAATCCGACTTGCCGCGGCCTCCTCTAGGATTGGCTCCCTGTGTCACCAGCTCTCTGCCCGTTGGCTGTCAGGATAAACCCCAGGGAGGCACCATCACGGAATGACTGGGCCACACAGCCAATATGCACTGTGCTAAAAGGGATACTTCCTTACAGTATACAAAATATAGAACTAATTTTCTCTTAAATAGATACAAAGCTGAAAAATAGAATAGTATCAAAATGTACGAGTTCATAGCCACATCACAGTCCTGGTGGTCACTGGGACTTGAAGGCTACGCTGGAGCCGCTGGGGGTGAAGCGGTAGGCCTTTCCCAGCACGATGCGGTCCCGCAGCAGCTTGAAGAGCATGTAGTAGTTACACGACAGCATGAGGCCCAGCGACAGCGTGTGGTTCCAGCACTCGGAGCGCAGCAGTGAGTAGAACTGGTAGAAAACTACGCTGGACACGATGCCGATGAGCAAGTTCAGCACCCGCAGCGGCTTGTGGAACAAGAACTGGGGGGGGGGGGGGCCTTTTTCTTATTTGGGATGATAATAGAAAAATAGTATTAGCATGATAACCTCCACGCCCCGGCTGTAATTTGGGGGGGGGGGGGAATCCATAAAGAAAGGGGAAAAAATGAATCACTAGGGCAACCAAATATGAAGCACAGGTATTACCTTTCAAGGAAGTAAATAGGACCCAAAGTAGACCGTCGGGGATGGGACAGTGACCCCTTGAATGGTACGAATTCCTTTCACTCCCACGCGAGCAGTGGTATGCAAGGCTACACAAAGACGCCACACATCCGGGGATTATGGGTAATCTCTCTCCACTGTGGGAGTTTTTTTTTTTATTATTTTTTTTTATCTTAGTAAATGCTGCCGGAGATGTCTCATCAGAAGCACGAGGCTCACAGCCATCCCCAGGGACACCCATATGGGACTAAGAGAGGGAGGGATGGGCTGACTCACGTAAAACCGGGCGTGAGACACGTCCGAGGGCAGCGCAACATTGTAGGGCCCCATGGCCTTGTAGAGGGACCGGCTGTGTCGCACCAGGACCCCCTGGGGCCAGATAGTGGCATCTGACCACCTGCAGGGAGCACAAAATTTTAAAAATATATAATGATTAAAACCACACACCCGTATTTGGGTAAGACCTGCGCCCACCATGCTGGGTCATCTGCCATGCAACAGACGTTTAAGATTGAAAGGCTGAAGAAAATGTTCACATAAAGAAGCTTATCAAACATTACTAGCTAACCACCCGGTATTACATAATATGCCACAGATAAAGAGATGAAACCAGAAAGATAGGCAAACTGGCATGTGTTTATCTGAACAGCTAAGGACGGAACTGCATGGGAGTAACCCCCCCCCCCCTCCAACTCACGGGTGCTGGGGTGCGTTGCCATAGGAACCGTGCTCCAGCTTCTGCCACCTGCCCAGGTGGGCGGACGAGCGGTGAAGCAGGTCGCAGTAGCTAGGGGGCAGCATCTGGCTGGTGAGCATCACAAAGGCATTGAGCCACACCATGACCAGGTGCTCGCAGGACCAGCGCATGTCGTAATACTGCGTGCTCTGGAAGGATGGGAGAGGCCAGGTTACCTAGATACCTGCTAACACGAGAATGTGCAACTTCCAGCTAACTAACGGAGTGAGATGCATCAACATTCTGGAATGTTGTTGGTTTTTTTCATTCATTCTTCCATCCATTCATCCATCCATCCTCTACACCGCCTATCCTATCAGTAGAGGAAAACAATTAATAAATCAAGACGCCAACCAAAGTGTAACCCTACTCTCCTTTCAGTCTGAAAAATAACTAAATTTATCAGATGCTTTTTACCAAATGCATTTCATCAAAAGCAACAGTTTCTACCCATTTTCAGAAGATTGCTACCCCCCACTCCACACTCCATTTCACTTCACCTACAAGTTCTGATTTCAAGAAGGCTGCTTAACCATAACTTGTCCAGTAGAGTAAACACCAATAGCTGCAGCTCATGGATTACTAGTTCATGCCCTTAACCACTATCCAGCTAGCTAATATTAGTATTCTCATCACCAGACCTGGCTTGCAGGCACCGTCAAACACAAACAGGTTTAACCCTCTTCTGGTTGGTTACTTTTTTGGGTCCTATGGGGTTAAACCAATCACAAGTTGGGAGGATGCAGCGATCCCACCCATCATGGGTTTCGAGGCCCTGCACCTCCTCCCATCGGTAACCAGATTTTCCTGGTAATTAAAGGCTGAGATGAGGTGATGGTTGAGGGCGGAGCCCAAACTCACCTTAACGAAGCAAAGCGGCAGGAAAGCCACATAGTAGGCGCTGAACAGCGAGTTAAAGAGCACCTCCTTGATGCGGCGGTTGAAGTCAGCCTTGAGGGCCTCCACCTCCCCGCGGATAAGCTCGGGTGACGGCGGGCAGGTGTGGGCGGGCATGGGGGCGGGGCCTGACAGCTGCTCCCACAGGTTTTCCCGTAGGAGCTTCAGAAAGTCCAGGGGCCGCCTCGTCAAGCTGTCCGCCTCCCGATCCAGGCAGCCGAAGTCAGCGGCGACGGACACCGCCTGGCCTTCGCGGTAGAAACAGCAGAGAGGAACGTACACTGCCAACCTGCGGGGGTGGGGGGATATATGGCCTGTTAAGAGTTTCAAGCGGGCTTCACTTTCAAAAGAAAACGTCAGACGTGAGAATTTCACTACCTCAATCAATTTTCCAGAAAATTCCAGCTCCTCAAACACAACACAACACAACACAACACAACACAACACAACACAACACAACACACTCACGCGTGTCATACAGCACAACCACATCCTAGGTCCCAGGCACCTGGGCTTTTACCAGCAGTCTATTTCATCTCATGAAAATCACACGTGTTTGCATCCATAATGTGTGACAATGTGTTTGCATCCATAACAATAGTTCAATAGTTCTTGGTTCAACAGCACAATGGTTATTCACAGCAGTGATTGACATCTGAGGTTGTGTGAGGTTCGTGGCAGATAGGTGTGTGCATGGGTTGAGCTTTCTGACTCACGGGTAGCCCAGGAATAGCAAGCTGAGCACGGAGTGATTCCTGAAGAGGCTGGCCAGCGTCAGGCAGAGTCCCCAGGAAGACGCCGCCAGCAGGACCAGACGGAACGACACTAGAAGTACGTACTTGAGCTGGGAGCTGCAGGGAGTCTCCTGAATGAAGAGGATCCATTAAACACAGTGACACCAAACCATTACAACCCATCTGCCAACACGTCACTAACAAGCCGAGAATAAGCGAGATTAGCAGCCTGCTAACTGCAGAGAACTATACACCAATAAAAGTAATTCTAAGGTGAAAAGTATGTTATATCTGTTAGCATGATGCTAACACCATGAGACCAACATGCGGCTGATGTCCACGCAAGGATGCAAGAGAATGGAGCCGATGGCTCTGCCAGCGGGTACCTCAGAGACGGCAGTCCATACTAGCCTCCTGGCTAGCATAATGCTAATGAAGACAGCCAGGTCACAGTCCATCAGATCGAAGTTCTGAAGGCACGGGCAAAAGGAATTCAATGGTGAATACAAGTAGGAATGTAGACAAAAGTGTTCACGTACACAAATGATGGATACAAAAAAATTAAATACTCCTGCAAAAGGTCAGCACACCGGTAACACTCCAGAAAAAGATTCGGGACGTCTTACTCTGGAAGTTAACGGTTAACCTCTAACAGCTACTAACATCCAGCGGCCTGGATGAGAAAAGGGGACGGCCATGAGGTACCAGTGAGGTAGAGGCAGCGTGGTTGCTGTAGGGGTACCACCAGACCGTCCTGTAGATGTTGATGTACTGCACAAACAACGCCACCAATAGGTAGAGGAAGAGCAGGAGCTCAAACACCAGGGGGTTCTCCAGCGGGAGATCGGGGATCCGAGAGTGGCGCACGGGCTCTGGGGCAATGAGGGCCGTCAGGGGGGCCGGAGGGAGACCCATGGAGTTACTGCCCCTGTGGGGGAAACAGGGGGGCATTTCTGCATTTGTACAGCCCCACTGAGCAATGTTACTCATTAATTCATCAGCACTACGTCTACATTTCTTGATGGTTTTCAAAATAAGTAGTCTCTCCTGTCCACACTAGCTGCTACGGTGCTGAAGGTGTCACTGGGTAACGGCCAATAAGCACCAGCTAGGAATCATGACCAAGGAGGTCCAAACATGCATCATGCGGTCACGTCATGGCAGTGCGGTGTTTATGCCAAGGCGGCTGCTGGAGGTTTCAGGAGGAGAGCTCTGGGCCCAGGCCCGGTGGCAAGCCCAAGCACGCGTCCCATGGCGGGGGGAGGAAAAGAAAAGGCTTGGGTATCGGGTAGCTATACCTCGGTTACTGCACTCAGGACGACACCCCCCCCCATACGCACCGCTTACCTGCCCCGGAGCCCTGCCCCGTTGCTGCAGCCGGACCCGACCAGCGTCTGCAGCGACGGCACCGTCAAGCGGCTCAGCTGCTGCCTAGTCGGACCCCTCCGACCCCCGGGCATGTCCGGCGACCCCGGTGACCCCGGCTGCTCGCCGCAGCAACCTCAGAGCCAAGCAGAGAACGGGCCAACACCTGAAACCACACAACACATGGGCAGTTGTCATAGATACACAGTCATTTCGGTGCATCACTGAGAAAAGTAATAAATCATGCGGCATATCCCTTACTGACACTCCATCGATAAGCGAAAGCACCATCACCGAAGACTGGACAGCACAACCTATCAGCTTACAGCCCCAAAGCCACTCCTCACCATAGAAACACACACAGCACAGATGAGACCTGCAGATATTAAGCCGCATTTCACCAGAGAGAGAAAAGAAGCTGTGTGCCAGAAAACACCAAATAAAATCATGGGATCCCTTGCAATGTTTTTACTGCCAGCTGTTATCCAGCTGAGAAAGACAGTGCTAAGACATCTCCTGTAAGCTCCTCACTGCAGCAGTGGGGTCACACTTGGCAAAGGTACAATGGCTGCAAAACAAAGAAGCTGAATACAAATTTATTACGAAGACACTCACTGAGTCCTATGACAACCTAGAACAAAGTGTGGCGGAGAAATTATGTGCACAGAACACTCAAGATCACTTCTCCCATTCTCAGTCCAGTCTCAAGAGAGAACACCAAATATGAACAGAGACATGCAAATCAAACTTGTTGCGTTGTTGAGTATATTACACAGGGTATATTACACAGGTGTAACACGTGGTCTAACGTCTGGGACAGAATGAGCAACATACGTCAGTCACTGAAGCACTTAAGCCAGAAATATAAAAAGATGTTTTGTTCTTTAATCCCTTTCTTTTAAAAAACTTTCACCTCCAGGTTGGAAAAAACAGGAACAAACTAAATGAAATAGGGAAATGAATTAAAGTCTGTTAAAGAAAACCAGAAACGTAATGAAAGGAAAACTAAGTAATCGAAAAAAATCTGTTTTTTTTAAACATAAACAGCATGTTTACAACTAGATTAATAACTGATCATTTGAGCCTTGTCAAAAGACAATCTGACCAGTTATCCGTATGATGAAATATTAACGACTCAATATAGATGCTCAAACATATTTACTAGAAACTGAAACGATTTAAAATTATTATTACTAGCTTGGTATTTTTCTCTTTTCAAAAGTACTACACAATGCTGAAAAAGAAGAAAATGCAACATATGCCGTTAAACTATATTACTCGATGCCAGTAGTGTTGTGTATAGACACGTGTGCACGGTTTGGTAACCGCAGGGGAAGCTCCTGGGGTGACACTCAACGGCTTCTCAAAAGCAGGCAGAGAAGTAGTCTTTCCATTTAGTAAAGGTAGCAAAACACTCGTGAAAAACATTGCATCCGTAGAAACTAAGGACAGATCAAACATTTCCCGGTTATATATACACATCTATACAGGATGTACATTTTAAAATCATAATGTTATGCTATATGATTCATTTGTGCATAGCAGATTATCAAGAGTTTAAGTCTCAGGTTTTCACTTAGACAGCGAAGTCAACGGAATGATCATACAGCGATCGCTACTGTTTTGATGATTAATGGACGGAGTAGCCAGATCCAGAAAATGTGCAAGAAAGTCCAAGACAATAAGCTCTGCAAATTAGTGAAAGTACAAGCAATGCGGTAACTGCATCAAACTACGCTTCGAAAGACATTCAGCGTGACCCCGTCCACATCGGCCGTGTGCAGAGAAAAGAGCAAAACTCACATAAATGCAGGACGGCTGCTGTCGGTCCGGAGGCATCGGTCAGACGTGCATTCGGGCTGCAGTCGTGTCCTAAGAGATCATCGCTTTCTCGTTTTGTGGAAGAAATCAAAATTACAAATATATAAATCCTCGGCTATCCGGAGTATTTCGGTACCAAGAGCTGGCGATTGCACACGCACAACAATATGGAGTTGGATGGCACTAAATCTTCCTCGTAAAAGGTCTGCCTTTCTTTCTTTTTTTAAAAAGAGAGACAAACTTCTACCGCCTTGAAACAAACCTGTCGCTTCTGCACGGCGACCAACGTGGCAAACGTGCGCCGTTTCTGTGACGCCATCAGTCTGAGGCGAGCTGCGCAACCGCAGTGATGCGCGCCCTGCTCGGAGCTACAGTTAATGATTCAAATCGTATTAATAATCACATTCATATTAAGCTGTTCAAGCATGTGGTACAGGAGGGAATAAGCATGTATCATCACGATGACAATCCTGCACTGCTCTGGTGTGAACTGGGAAAATAAATCAAGTATTCCATATATTTTTAAATATAAAGGCCATATGTTAATCTACGAATTGTTTAATGTTAAACTTTTGCTGTCCCTTACTGCTTCGGACGGCTCTCTGATTACAATGAGGAAGCTGGAACCACATACACTTCCTTGTCGCGCGCCAGTCACACGTGATTGAATATGATACGACCACGCCCCCTGGAGGAGGAAATTTCTGCATTATTTTTGCAATCACTCGCAACATCTATGGCTTCTTTTAACACACCATGGTTCTAATGACGCAGTCTCAGTGAGTGCCAATGTTACCGCATACCCCCACTCCACAGGTGAAGCGCTTGAATTCCATTTGCACTCTGGAGTTTGCATACGTACTGTTTGTTCGTGCATGTATGTGTGTGTGCGTGTGTGTGGATGAGTGAGTGAGAGAGATCCATGTAAAGACTACCCTCACTAACACTTACTTAAATAAAAATGAAATTAAAAAGCCTACCATTTCTACAATTTTATTTTAAGTATAAGGAACTCAATATTTTCAAAGTAATACATCAAAGGAAAATGTGTTAAAATAAATGCTTATATTTTATACAAATTATATAGAAATTGTGTTACAGCATAATTTACAGGACCTTTGTGGTAGAGACACACAGAGGTAAAACTGCTTTACTACTAAATATCGAACTGTAGCAACACAGTGTATCTATTCATATAAATAAATCAATTTGAAAGCTTGTCATGTACCAGGAAGATTACCCTGTTTGATGAGTACTGGATAAACATTAGTCTTTTTTTAGTTGGCTGTTCTTAATAACCCCCCCCCCCAACACACCCCAGTGAGTCATTACAAACCATACAGATATTTACCTTATTCCTCATGAAAACATAACTGTTATATTTCTTTGTAACATAGAAAGGAAATTAATGATTAACATTAAAAACATTCAAAACATCCATTTCACTGATGGATGGATGGATGTGATATTTCTATTCCCTTAGAGGGGGCATTTCTGGGATGAATATGTGCATTCATGACAGAGAACCAACCTCAGACTCATTCCTGACATCTCCGCTCCCCCCCCACCTTCCTTTCCGCACATGCCACAAACACCCAGGGTGTGATGGAGACATGACGCATTAGGGACACACACTCAACAAGCTGCCAAACAGAGTCAGGCACGAGGCAGGTCATTTCACAGGAAGGCGAGGCTTCACTGCATGGACACACGCAGTTTAAATATTTATTACCTAAGGCAATTAAGGTCCAGCTGCCATCTTCACAATTTAAGGAAGATCTTGGTTTCCACACTTTAAGAAAAACATGAGGAATATAGTGGAAAGCAATAAATTCCCCCAGGCCTTGTTAAATCCTTGAGCTTCTCAAGTAAAAAATAATAAAAAAAAAAAAAGAGTCCAATATTGAATGATTTCTTCTGTCCATACAAAAAGTAAAAATAAAGTTTTTGCATAATTCTTCCGACACTCCTTCTTGTCGTCTTTTCACATACTGTAATTACTACACGGTTAAAACAAGTGGGAGGGATGGAAAGGGTTGGGCGGTCATATCACGATGCTTTTGGCACTGCGCGAACTCTTCTCCTGCAAAAGAAGGCAGTAAAAGACAAATAGAGTTAGCCGGTGGAACCACAGAGAGGAGGAGGTAGTGTTCATCCTCTGTTTACTGTATGTCTACCACAGTGTTGGTGCCCGAACAAATATGACAGCCGGACTAGAGATTTTAACGGGGGGAGGGGCACCCGTGTGGAGTGGGGGGTAGCAACGGTAAAAGCTGTCGACCACCCTATAGCCACACCCCCAGCTAATACACTAAGGTTTTCAGTGTGGTGCCAACAATGGGTTACTGGGCGTTTCTGTGAGACAGAGAGAAAACAAAGCATCTTACGGAGCTGCGCTCGTTGTTGCGGGCTGTTCCGCCAGACTTGCGTCCCTGCGCGATGTCAATGGAGGTGTAGCTGGGGGGCTTCTCAGGCCAGGCCCCCCCCCCACGGCTGCGCGTGCCCCCCTTCCGGCCGCTGTAGTCCTCCTCGGAGGACCAGGAGCCCCTCCGCTGCTCTTCCGGCGAGTAGCTGCGGTCACGGCGCGGCTGCGTGCGCCGCATGTCGTCCATCAGGTCGTCGCGGCTCCTAGAGCGCGACTGCCGGGACCGGGAGGTCCGGCGCCGCTCGTCCACATCGGAGTCGTCGCTGTAGCTGCGCGGGGGCCCGCGGCGCGCGGGCGACGCCTCCCGCCGAGACTGCGGGGGCATGCTGTTGCGGTAAAGGCTGCTGCGGTTGGTGCCTATGGTGTTGCGGCTGCTCGGGCGGTAGCCGGAATGCCGGGAAGCGGGCCTCTCCACGATGGGGGGCAGCTGGATGACTCTGCGTTCCATGCCCTGCACCCCCATCTCGTTTAGGGAGGACAGCATGCTGGGGGGCCCGGGCACGTACGGCACGGCCTGGGGCATGTGCTGGCCCGGGGGGGGCATCTGCTGCAGGGAGACGCGGGAGGGCTGCGACAGTAGCGTGCCGTTCATGTCCATGTTGCGCACCTGGTTCTCCAGATACTCCAGGGCCTGGTTGGTGCCACGCAGGCTCCCGTTGCTGTGGGCAGCGAGCAGGCTGCCTGGCGGTGGCGGCAGGGGCAGGGTGCCCATTTGGAGGCCCTGTTTGGAGGGATCTGCACAAAAGGGGGCATCGTGTGAGGCACTGCCAACGCGGCATCTTTTCACATCAGGAAAAAATTCAACACATTTGCATAGCCTGCTGCTTTTACATAGAAGTGCATAGTTAATGGACATTAATTTAAGAGCCATATGTGGATAAAACTGCAGGTAGATGTCATTTATTTTGTGGAAAGTAGATCTTTAAACCTGGTATGATGCGTTTTACTCGTAAACCCTGCTCTTGGACGTATAGCAGTACAAAAAGTCTGTTTTAGGACCGGAACTGTTTCTTGTTTTTTTTTTAAATTTATTACAGAGGCATAATTCCGCGTAGGTCTGACGGCAGGAAGAAGCAGCGTGGGCTGTTCTAGAAACCCTACCAGAGTAGAGCAGGGGATGCATATGCATGGAGGAGGCGTGGGATATGGGAGCGTAGATGGGCTGCCCGTGGACCCAGGGAGCCATGGCTTTCTGAGCATCCTTCATCATTCTGTGCTGCATCACAGCTGGATGGAGGGAGGGAGGAAGGGACACAGTGAGAAAGACAGAGTCCGGTGGAAGGAGAGAAGAGAGTCAGGGTGTGTGGGGTCAGCAGACACTGTCACTCACAGCCTGTTTTAGCAACAGGTGCAGGGAGGTACGGGAGCTGAACCAATCAGTGGCCAGCAACACATTACAAGTGTAGGTTTTGAACCAATCAGTGGCCAACAATGCATCATCATCATCAAGTCCCTCCACTGTGGGTTTAGAAGCCTATGTGTACCTTGCGGCTCATTTACAGCAATTATGAGTGAGGACAGTCTATGCACACATGTATTAATGCGTGTGTGTGTGTCGATCCGGGGAGTAAATACCCTTTTCCGGGCAGCAGCAGCTCTGAGGACAGCAGGGGCAGCGTATGTAACAACAGCAATGCTGGGGGCAGCACTGACACCAACAAATGCTAATCAGAATGATGAGGAAGATCCCACCCAGGATGATGAGCAGCACAACCAGCCACTCTGCCAAGGAGATAAGGGTCACATCAGATACAGGGCTTATCCATAGGTGTCTCCTCAGTCACGGCAATAACCTAAAGGCCAAACTAAAGTGCCCTGCCGTTCAGGTAGGTCGGAGGAGGAAAATCATACAAGAGGATAATCTTGGCTCAGCTGTCAAAGAACAAAAACTCAGACAGCATGAGTCACTAGAGCTACGCACTCATACCACACATATCAGCATCTCCACAGGCTGGAGGTGGATCCCTCAAACGAGCTAAATTCAGCATCATTATACAGGCGCAGCTACTTACGAAGTACAATGAGACTAATCCTTCCATCCAGGCCTCCAATGGGGTCTCCCGCGGCAACAACAGAGCAGTAGTACATCCCATTATCCCACCACATGACTTCCGAGATGGCCAGATCCGCCTCTGCGCACACACACACACACACACACACACACACACACACACACGTGCAAAGAGATGAGGACAAGAAGACTCATGTAGGGAAATCACTGTGCTTGTCAAGATGATCACTTTGCAAATGGGAAAAAAAACATTCTGTACCAATCAATAAGCTGGATATTTTTTATTGGATTTAGGTTTTTCTGGGATCTGAATGACTCTACTAAGCTACCAAGCCTTAGGAAGTGCTGTTGTTTGTAATGTATCAAAATCAAAAAACACCAAAGGAAATTAGGGCACACTTACTGTTCTGGATTGTGATTTTCCTCTGCTGGTATTCTGTTCCCAGTATGGCCTCATTGGTACCTCTCTTCTGGGCCACGGTGCGGATGGTACGCTGGCTGTCCGGGCAGTCGTCAGCTGGGTTCTGGCCAATGGACATTGCCGCCTGGTAAGCTGGTATGAGAGGGATGTGGGCGTTACGGTCACTCCGGAAATCACGAGAAAGCTTTCCATCAGCACCTGAGCAGACAACCCGAAACCCACCATGAGGTCCACCTACTCACCCGCAGTGTAATACTCCAGAACGGGGTCCTTGCAGAACGACTTATAAGTCCAGGTGATGATGACATCCTGTTGGTTGGCAGACGTGGTGTAATCACAGCGAAGCACAACCGAGGCGAACAGAGTCGTAACACGCCGAGTCTCGGGGACGGACACCTGGACGGAGAGGACGTCTGCGGGACAAGGGCCGATTCGCTGTCATTTCCAAACACTGAATTGGCTCACATAAATGTCTTTTTTCACTCCTTCGCAGAAAACACTGTAAAATCCGCACTTTTTACAAAACACCACAGACAGGATTTCATTTTGTATCAGATGGCACTTAAAGTTCCTTTTTATAAATTTTTTTTTTTACTTTCATAATGTTTGAAGTCATCCTATACTAGCCCAGGTAGTATTTCATAAGTTTTATTTCTGCCAAAGTAGAAAATATTTTGTTATAATGTAAAGATCATTTTCACTTTGGAGGTATTTTTGGAGGCCATTTCCTTATTGATAAAGTGAAATTTACAGGTACCTTGATTTGCCCAAATATTTAATCCAAAAGTAAAGCTCCCACTAACATAAGTGTGATCAATGTGGTGTGATATTTCCTTCACAACTATGGGCAGAATGTAAACACTAACTATACATTCTAGAACAAAGGCCCCAAACAAAGTAAGCTAAGTAATACACATGCCTTCCAATGACCACGTCCACACCCTTGTACTTCCTTCAAAGAAAAAAAAAAAAAAAACCCAACCTGTAGAACTGGTTGGTGATTCAAAGTAATGCTGTCAGAAGCCTGTCACCATGTTTTGGTACCATGAGTGCGCCGAGGGAGGACAGCATCATCTGCCATGTCGCTACAGCTACGAGAACCTGGTAAACAAGCCCTCGTTTGAGTAAGACCTCCCCGGGGTTCATCTGAGTCTCTCAAGCTAGTGAGTAACCACAGCAGGAGCACCCAACAGGTTCCAGTGAGACCCTGAGGTGCAAAGCACAATGATGGGACCTGTTACCTGGGCGGTGTTTCCATAAAACCTGCAACATATTCCGCATAATAGCTTCTGTGATGCGCCAAATCTTCAAAACACATACAGAATCATACAGCATCTTTGAAAGACTGCAGTGACTGTTAACTCTGCATCAGTACCAGTTATAGACTATATTATGCAGTTGACTCTACTCTGTCATCGGCTAAAGCTAGCTAATATCACTAGAACAGCACAAATCTATAGAGTGGCATTGCAATCACGAACGAGAGAGTGACTGAGTACAAAATACTGCGTTCATGTCAGTGGGCGAAGGAACCTGTTTTCCAGGCTGAAGGTTACAGATCCTTGTCTGAAAAATCAATGAGGGCGACTTCTCTGAGCATTGCTGATTCACAGTGTAACCACAAAAACCACCACAATTTTTGACAGCATTAAAAACATGGCAGATTTAGTGATGCAACGCCTTAAAAACCGTCACAAAAAAAATCGTCAAAGACTCCCTGTCGCCCGACCCCTCTGAAGTCACCGGGGAACACCAGGCTGTCACGTGACCGCAACTCGCTCGCTTCGGCAAGTTTCACTTGTACGTTATTAACTATTTCGGTATGCTATGTCCAAGATAAAAGGTAAGCTAAACGGGAAAAAACGCTAAACATTATCTGAAGACGACCTGCTTAGTCACATTTAAATAAGGAAATCCCACCTTACCTGATGGCCAGACAGCAAGCACCAGCGCAATAAGTATCAGTTTACCCATTATGTCTCCTTTCCAACAAGGAAAACTTCGACACTTTTCAAATTCCACCTTTTCAAAACTGCAAAAACAAACAAAAGCGATAAAACATAGTTCGCACGTCGGTATTATTCCCAGCTCTGGTCTTTGCGACTATTCTTCTCACCTCTACAGGTTTTAACCTAGTATTTTTTAAGCAGGGAATAGCACTTGAGCGCCTCCCCTTCCCCCGCCGATGAGCATCTGAAGCCCCACCCCGAAACAGGTGTATCAGGTGACGCAGAAGCGCCTTCACAAAAGACTGGATTGCCCACCTGAATGCAAGTGCATAATCAAATGCAATGTCCATATGATTTTTGCATTGTATATAAAATTATTCCATGGTTCATCGGTTTTTCCATTTGCAATATGAATACCTCAGGTATAACAGTGCAGACCTTTGCTGTAATAATAGTGTTTGGTTGTTGTATTGGTGTCTGTCACTAGAGGGCAACAAACACCGAGGAGCCCGGCTATGTCCAACCAGCCCAGTTCCAAATAACATACGACCATTGTGTGAATTTAGAAAGGAGTTCGGACCTTTGTGTCGGCGTCCGGTCACAAACAGTCGGGTAAAGTGCGACTTCCAAAGTTTCGATGGGTTGAAGTCAGGTTTGGTCTTGGGGTTTTTTTACGTTTGAATTTTCATCTCGGCTAGCTGACCTGTTTATCAGCCTTAGATGTTTTGATTATAAACTACGTACTGTTCCTCTTAATGTTTTTTTCACTGCTGTACTTTGAATGGTCTTGCTTGTATTTGCACTCCCGACAGTGTTTACACGGCGATCGCTGATAAGACGGAGAATGAGCAGTAACCCGGGGCTGCTCGCCAGCTCAGCGAGTCCTTTGTCCCACACGGGGAAGCCTGGCTGGACCAGTAGTTATTAGAGGCCTGGCACAATTACGTCATACTGGCTCTCTCACTCTTAACATTTTCTGTACTTGTTCATGCGCAAAAAGTGTGTCCTCTTTTGTCATTCCCTCATGAGATTGTCCCTGATCCCTTTACGACACTCACATACTTCTCGCCACCTGCACGTTTGGCGTTCTGATACTTTCCTGCCATTATGGTCCGAGTCTGGGACAGAGGCCAAGCGCTGTATCTCCATCCTCTTACCATGCAGATGTTTCCTGTCCCCCTCCACTGTGGGGTTTTCAGTCATCAATTAGACAATATTTTTTCTTAGACAAGATGAGTTCCCTTTCCACATTGTCAGGACTTACATCAAACACGCCAGTAATACAGATCTTTCATCAATAGGCCTATTACTTAACGATGCACTTTGTTGTATGTCCGATTGAAATGCTTCGTAAATAATCTAGGCTAATATTTTTGCAGTTATTTGTCTAGAAGAAGTTATTCGGAATCATTCAGTTATACATATTACATTCTCATAAATCCTTAATGAACACGATTAGTCTTCAGTATTAACGATAATGCAATAAATATACACGTTATTGTTTTTTATTCTTATAAAACCGCATATGGTACAAATCTACAGACAACAGCTATAGTCACAGAGAACACATGGAAACAACATGTTGTACCGCAAAATAAAAAAAACGTAAAAAAGACGAATCTGACATTGCATTATGTAATTCCATGGCAACACAGGAATGAGAGTTTCGTAATCAACTCATAATCCCGAAGTTTCGGTATGAAGTCTATACTACGGTTAATTAATCCCTCCCTGCCTTTGGACCAGACGCACACAATACCACACCTATTTTTGAACTAAGTTATTAGGTACCCGGTGTAGGTGTATATAGACGTGGGTGTGTTGGGCTGCCTGCATGCATTTTGAATTGCAGCAGCTAATCAGCAAAGGGGTACATGGGGAATTTCAGGTATTTAGTTTTTATTAAGAGATTGTTACAACCATTAAACTTTTTTAACAATACGTCCATGAAAAGTCTGCATTAGTAAATTTGTCTACCTACGTTCATATCCGTTCTCACTAAATTACGTGTTGTGTATTTGTCGCGGATTGTACTGTACTCCGCCGTACGTGTTCACGCAAACCCCAGTTTCTCCGTGAACATCTCAGACAGTCACACGGATTGCGAGGATACAATGCACAATGGCCTTTTGCTCATGACTCATCCGGAATGAAACCCTCTCTGGCAGAGAGCTGGCTAACCTCCAGCGCTCCGCAGGACTGAAAGACCACCGTCAAGCTAGGAGTCATGACAGTAAGCCTATTAAGTCTCTGTCCTGGTCGCATATAGGGCTGCACACTCAGCAAATTACTTGTTTCCTTTAGAAAAGGTGACTCATATCTGAAGGGAAGCTTACCGTTTTACCTATTTGAACAACTGGAACTCTACCAAAGAAAGTTTGGTTAGGATCAGGTCCAATACTCTTGTTGCATAAAACTCATAGGCTAATCTACAGTCATACCTATATGTAGAAACACCAGCTATGGTCTCCCCCAAGATCTGTTTCATTTTACTGATCAGAACAGCTGTCTTTTGTCCTCCCTAGAGTTGATCCGACTCTACTCCCAGGCCCAACAAAAAGTCCCTGGTTCTCCCCTTGTTCCCGTATCACGTGGTTCTCCACAGCATCCTGCACAGACCCAGTCCTTCAAGCTCCTTGTAGGGACTCCAATCACCTAAACACCAGTCTAGCCTCTTAGGTGCTCAAACCGCAGCTCCAAAGCAAGATAAAGCCAGCGTGTGTAAGAGGGCACCCATTCACAGAGAGCAGTACAAACAAATACAGTACTTTGATCATTTAAGGTGGGTTTACACTGTCTGTGGCCTTACATGTGCACTACATGGTTTAAACTGATAAGGGTAGTGATTAAAAACACAGCAATTTACACAGCACAGGAAACTTATCTAAAATAAACACTCAGCTCGTTTCATAATTTACATCCATCTCAGCTGAGGACTGGAGGTCAGTTAACAGGAAAAAATGAACAAACATCATTCATATGAAACAGCAGCATCTTCAGGTTGTTGTTTGGAGGCTTCAGGGTGCTGATATTTCTTTTCAGTGGTTTCAGGGTGACCCTCTTTGATGCACAATGTAGTTTTCAGAAAATGTCAACGTCAAACAGCATCAAATGCCTATACAAAACCACCTGTCCAGTCTAAAGACACTGTGTTTCCTGCAGCCGTTCCATTGTGGTGCCTCCTGCAGTCTTGGCGTTGGTTACTCCATAATGACCAAGTTGTAACAATGCGTATTTGGAAGACTAGCCATAGGGTGGCGCCATTCCCATCATGGTTAGTGTTGAAGAGTTACGGCATTCAGTGCTGAACAGTAACAAAAGCCATGAGAGTCAGAGGGACGGAACTGAGGGGCCTATGTTTTTGCCGCAGGCATGCATGCATGTACATGTACAGACACAAAGACATACAGTCATGCACACATAGACATATACATACACTGTACAAACACAGGACCAGCCACCTGAGCTGAAGACGAGTGTCTGCAGCTTGGGATTGGAGGAAGGCTTCCCTGAGTGACCCGGTTCTTAGAGGGACTGCCATCCACCAGCCCTCCTCCCCCCCCCCCCCCCCCGATCGTAACAGTAGTGCCGCCTGGGTCTTGAGAGGCCTGTGGGACCCGTCCTGTCTGCTGCCTGTGCCGCGAGTGCTTGCTCTGATCACCAGCATCTGAGTCCTTCACACTACGAGAGAGTCTCTGCTAAGGAGAGTGTTCTGTTTAAAAAGAAACAACACACCGGGAGCCAGGCATTAGTACAGAGCGGCAGGCATGCAGATGTTCAGTTAGTGTTCTCTTAGCGCTCAGTTAGTCAGGCCTGTGAGTGAAAAAAACAAAAAACAGAAACACTGCAGTTAATCATGGCCGTGGTTAAAGCATTAGGTTCTAATCTCATCCCCTTTTCTCCCTATTCCTGTCTGGGATTAAATAGGACCTGTGATGCTCAGGAACATTAAACCCATAAAAACAAACCAAAACACAGTAATATCAGCATGACACATCAAAACGTCATCATCTGTTACCCTCCCTGGTTTAGTATATCCAACCTTAGTAAAAACTCTCGGACAATGTTATTGTTAAACTTATTTGTTATTTTATTGTTACATTTTTTATGGACATCTTAATATTATTTCCAAGGATTAAAAAAATGTATGGACCAATCACACCATTTTAACGACAAGGAAAATAAATCAGTGGATGAAGGATAATTGATACATAGTTTGATTGCAGAAGTTGAAGTGGACTGAAAGCCCCTATACAACAGTATTGCCTCTCCAAGAAGCCTGACTGGTATTCGCAACAACATTTCCCCGGGATCTAGGGCTGTCCTAAATGTGGCCTTCTTAAATGTAACTTACCACTTTGCGGAGCTTCTCCCGCTCGTCCCTGCGCTCGTGTGGGGGCCGCTTCAGGCCAGGGTTGGGGCGGCCATATGAGAAAGGCCTCATGGCAGGGTCTGCGCTCCGTTCCGAATAAGGGGGAGGCAAATCCTCATCCCCAGCGTCCTCGTCTTCCTCGTCGGGCCGGTTGCTGGGCGACTGGCTGTGGTAGCAGCTACTGCTCTTCTTGGAGCTGCCCCTGGAGGGCGTGTCGCTCTGGCCGCTGTCGTCCTCGGCGCGCCCCGCACGCGCATGCCGTGCCTTGCGCTCCAGCAGGCTGCTCAGGTAGGCATCGTTGTATTCTCGGCCGCGGCGGGAACGCCGGAGGTCGCCATTCCCTATGTCTCGGCGCTTCTTGGGCGACGGAGGGGGGCTGTGGCCGTTCCCCCTTCGTTCCCAGTCTTGCTCCTGATTCTTCCTATGTGAGGGGATCTGGTTCCTCTCCATCCAGGAGTCTGGGGGCTTCTCTATGCGCTGGAGCTGCTCCTCTTCCCCCTGGGGGTGGTGCAGCTTTCGGCTCCGTGGCTCCGGCTCGTGGTCCCGCTCCAGCTCTCGGGACGCCCCCCGTCGTCTGCGTTGGTCATAGGATAGAGCGAACTCCTCCAGTTCGTCGAGAGAGCCTGTCCTCCCCCGGGCACCAAACGTCTTCCTCTGCAGGTGCTCTGAGGCAGGCTTCCACCTATACAGAAACGGGAAACTCTCAGCACAAGCACGAGCGTCACCCTTGCTCAAGTACATGCCTTTTGTGAACGAGAGCCCTATCAGAGCGGGTCCCACATAAACAAATACAGACCCTGTCATCACAGACACATGATGTTACTGGACAGATACACACAGTGTTACAGAATAGACATGATGCTACAGTACAGACACACTGTCTTACAGGACAGACACACATGGTGTTGCAGCACAGACACAAACACCCTGTGTACTGAACTGACACTCGTGCCTTTCAGACACTGAGAAACGGATTGTAAGCCAAACGGTAGCAGTTCCCTTGTACTTGCCATCATTATACACAACCAGAGCTAACATAAATATATTGTGTTCCCATTAAGGGAAACGAAATCCGAGCCCTTTCCCTATTACCTGGCTTGGTGCTGGTCCTCTGGCCAGCGGCTGCGGTTAAAGGTGTGGTTCGGTTGCAAGGCCTGGGAGGTCATGGTATCCTGGAGGTCTAGGCGGTCGCGACTGCCAGCGACAGGGGGCAGGGCCGCCTTCTGGACCTGTCGATAGGTCTGCCGAAAAGGGGGCTCGCCGTCATGGAGGGAGCTGAGCTCCGACATGCTGCAGGCTGTGAACATCGGCATGAAGACCTGGCCTGTGACCAATTGCTCCCAATCATGTGACATCATGTATGTTCTCACACCAAAGTGATGGGTAATCAAGAATACATCTCTCTCACACACACACACACAAATGCACAGACCTGTACTTTTTTAACCAAAAGTAACTGAACAAAATATAAGTCTTCTGGCATTTTTAGTTTTTTGATTGCAGTCACAGATTTTTACCAAATTGAATTTACCTTTGTGTGGACCGAAAAATGGTCCCCACAACGTCAAAATCAAATTAATTAAAATAAATGGTCCCCACAATGTAATGTATATCAGGACCACAGACACACAGACACACAGTGAATTAGACCAGGGGACATTCTGCGGGGTCTTACATTGATTACAGGACCTCTTCGCAGGGTCAAATTGGGCAAGCTCCTTCTCTACATGATACAGAACATTCAAGGAGTCCTGCTCCTTATTGGTCGGCAATCGATAGCCCCTGAAATCTGCAAGAAAAGACAGCACTCTGAGCTGGGCAGAAACACGGGCACACAAACACACCCCATTTCCACATCCCCCTAATTAGCAGGGTGTGTCCATCCTGGAGGGTCATATGTGACCTACTAGACTCAGCCCATTAGGGGAAATGACCCAGACATCAGACAAGAAAATGATGTCTGTATAATTAGAGCAAAACTGCAGTGTGGAACTGTGAACATTTCCTGTGGAAAAGCACAACGGCACTGCCCCTGCTGGTTTCTGGTCGAAGATCAAAATCAAACACATAGTTAAAAAATTATTTATGACGTGTGAAGAAGTCACCTGTAATAAGCTGTCTTGAGGCATTGATAGATCTGGAACCCAACCCCCTCCCAAGAAAATGATACTGTCACAGTGAGAAGCAGCGCTTAGTGAGCAGCGGTTCTGGTTACAGTTAGTTCATGTCACTTAGCTGACAAAACATTACAAAGGGCTAAAATAAGCTTAAGTAGCAGGACTGACCTTGAGAAGTACTGGATAAGCTGTGAAGCTTCGCTCACAAGCGTGTGTACACGTGTTTGTGCTCGAGGCTTGGGCATGGCCCTTCTGAACACCGCGCCTGCCTCAGCCACTCACCCGTGGGCATGTTGTTCTCCAGGGAGGGAGTGGGCGCCATCTTGGATTCGATGAGAGATGGGGGTGCGATGGAAACCATCGTGGGGACGTTGGGCATGTAGAACGCGGGGTGCATGGGTAGTGACGCCGACGCCATGCTCTTTGCGACCTTTCCTGCCTCGTACACTGCGGACGGAAGCAGACACGGATGTTCGCTGGCCTCTCCCCCGGCTGTGACATGCTGAAGCGTAAGGTGTACACACTCACGATGCCGTGGGCAGCAGCACGTGTCGGGGCAGCAGCAGCAGCGCACGTAACAGCAGCAGGAGTGAGGGCAACACTGGCACCAGCAGATGCCCACCAGCAAGATCAGGGCCAGGCCTCCCAGCAGAACCACGGCCACGAAGAGCCACTCTGGGGGAACGAGGGAGACATGCTCAGCACCGGGGTGTCATGCCATCCCAAAGCGACTGGGCTTCATCTGCCAGTGTCACCGAGGTTACTGCCCCTGCACGTGTGGGAAGCTGACGGAACAATTGTGTGCGGAACTGGGTAGTAAAATGGTTAACAGCAAGAGCAATTCAGAATTTCGTTCAGTTAGACACTTCACGGGGAAAATCAGGGGCCTTTTTGAGAATATATTCAAACTGAAACACGGCACCAAATGACAGGCAGACACCGCTATATGCCCTTAGCGACAGGCCTTTAGCTCCCAACCTCGGCTCCCATAGAACATTCTGCCTGTTTGTGTCGAACACGAGTGAGAGAGCGCAGGAGACAGAGGATGAGAGAATGACACACACAAAGGTCCCTTAACATCCAGATAAGATAAGAGTCGTGGCCCCAGCAGCATGGGGGGAGGGGGGACAAACAGAGGAATAGCCTTTGTTTCACATAATGCAAGCATGCGACTGGGCCCTCCGACGTGTGAGGTCACCGGGGTGCCAAATGCAGGCACGGTGCCAGGAGGCTGCAGTGTCCACGTCACTTATTACACCACTCAGGTTTCTGTCTGCAGGCCACACATCCCCCCCCCCCCCCCCCCTGCAAGGTCAGCGTGACTGATGGTGCACACACGCATGCACAAGTATGGGTATATAAAAATAAACTTAAAAACATGCACACATAAAAATGCATAAACAGAAATACATATAAGCACAAACACGCACATATAAACAAACAAAAGCACCAAAAAATAAATGCAGCAGAAACCTCTCATGCTTTCTCTTAATTAACTGAGTCTCCCTCTTGCTAATTACCAGCCTAACCTTAAATTGGACTTGGTGGTCCAGGTCCAGAACAATGCAGTTTAAAAACACTTTGAGGATCAGGGGCCTGTACTACGAAGCGGGGTTACTGGCTTATCAGGCTAACTTGTCAGATTTAAGGTAGTCTGGGCAAAATGTAAGTGAACGAATATGAAGTCCATTTAAACTGTGGTACCTTAAATCTGACAAGTTACCCCGCTAAGCCAGTAACCCCGCTTCGTAGTACAGGGCACAGACCTCAAAAGGTTAGGCCTCTGTACCTGTGATCATAAGGTCATTGGTGTGTCAACAGAATAGTCACATCGCTGCTGAGCCCTTGACTAAGGCCCTTAACCCCCCAAAAAATGCTAAATGGCTGACCTATATTCACTCATCTATATTCCCATGTACCCGTACTCCAACTTATACAAATGTCAAAAAAGCATCATTTCATTCTCTACGAAAACATTTCTGACCAATAATTGTATCTCACATGATTACTAGTTCATACAGGTGGATGTTTCTCCAGAGTGATGCTGAGAACAATGTCTTTTTGTAAAAGACATGGAGAGTCAACCTTGAGTTGAAATTGTGTGTTCATAACTTCCAAAATTCAGGTTATCCTCTTCTGCTCCACACACACAAAAACGGGGGAAATACAAACTCTGTGTGACTTATTTTCTCATGATGATGAAAGCTGTCTGTTCCAGCAAGAACAGAAAACAGGGATATCGAGTTCACAGGGAGAAAACACAGCTGGATGCATTTGTGCTACATTTGTGTTCTTACAAGGCTCGAGAGATAAACATTTTGTCCGTTATATTTCTAAAAACATTCTGGGGCTTTTCTCAGATAATGAAAAAGGGTAAATCTATACATACATATGCCATGCATTTGTATGTTTTACAGTTTAACACTAACTTTCCTTTATCCATTATATATGACGTACTGTATAAACTATGATCTTATTATGAAACAACTAATTCAATTTTACATTCACTTCCGTGTGGTATAGCATACTTCCTCTTTCGGAGCTGCTCCACTTCCTATACGTCTAAGAGGCAGCACAGAGTGAAGAGTTAGGGCAGTGTGAAGAGGTGAGCAAGTGGACAGCGGAGACAGTTGAGGACACACCCATACCTGGCATAACATCCATATCAAACCCAGGCAGGAGATCGTCCACTGGACCTACCTGACCTGGAAAGAGAAGAAGAGGAGAGGTAAAGGGCAGGACAGGACAGAGGAGCCAGCAGGGCCAGGGATCAAAGGTTCAGCGTGAGCAGAGGAACAAGGAAACGCGCAGAGAGGTTACGTGCATGTGCAGGCCAGCTGCTAAGCTGGACAGAGGAGTGAACGGGAGACATCTGACCAAGGAACGAGAAATGGAATTTTTGCCAAAGTGCCAGGCTGGACTGCCAGGATATGAGAGGCATCAAAGATCGACTGCATTTAAAAATTTAGCATTGATAGCTAACATCGAGCTTGCCAAGGCTTTGCTGATAAATGTAGCATGATGTTGCTTTGTTCCCTCTGGGGAGGCAGGCTGGAATTTCATTCCGACAGACAGGTAAGGAGTTTTCATAGGGCTTATTTTCCTATAAAGTTTTTCTCCAGAGAGGAATCCTGTCTAGAGCCCAGATCAAGAACCAGTAAAGCTTGTTATGAATCAAAACATTCACGTAAAGAAAATGAAGCAAAAGAACAGCTTTTTATGGATCATAGCATTGACATAAAGAAAATGAAGTAAAAAAGAACAAACACATACATGTGTCTTGAGCAAGAACCATGCTGAAATGGAACCAGCCGATCTCACACAGCCGACATAAGCGGTTTTTCAGTGTAAATGCATCTTCTTTCAGATGTTTTATTAGATTAATTTTCTCTGTTACACTATGGTCTGCCTCAGAGGTTTGACGAAAAAGTCACTTAGCAAAACAAAATGCTCTCCTTTATTTTGCACTTGTCTAGTAGCAACTGGGCCCTTGTGCTGTTCTGAGTGATGTTCTGTGTAGCTCTTGCTCTGATGCTAACTTTCGTTTGTCATTGGTCACTCATTGGAAACTCAGCCTAGCAGCACATGTACCTAAGTTGGTTCCTTGGCAAAACTATGCTTCTGCTATATTCTCCGCTTCTCTTTGGACAAAAGCATCGGTTAAATAACTAACTGAAAAGTTAATGAGCAAAAAATGAATTTGAGCCGAGGGGTTGTGCTTCTAGCCCCTGACATGTTGAAAAGCCTTCAATCAATTCTCAGACAACATTCAGACACATTGAGCCCCTTCCAGCTTTAGCACACTGCTGAATCAGCGCGAACGAAACGCAGCTGTCGCCCTCCACGACAACCTGGATGGCTCCAGCCCAGAAACACCAACTGAACCTCGACACCAGAGCAGTTAGTGTTGTAAGCTATAGTACACTGTATCTGTGAGCTAGCAAAGAGTGCAGTGTTTTAAAAATATGTCTTTTAATGAATTTAATAATTTAGGGGCAATTTGGAAAAAAACATGGACCAGATAAAAATATGAAAACTTGCCTAATATTAACAGAACAGGTATCTTTAGCACAGAAGCCAGTTGTGGCTGGTGTTTTTGAACGTACCATCAATGGGGGGGAGGTGTGGTGACTGCTATTCCTGGAATTTGGGAGTTAAGCGGTGAAGTCAGCACCTTCACCACATGGATCATGGTGAAATATCCTAATTCTTGCCACTTTAGTAATTGTTAGCGGTGGCTACACTCATCCACCCAGAGACTCCACCCATCAGGCCCAGGTCACTGGAATTCACTGGGTTCAAGGCGAGGCCTGTTGTGTGCGCTTGACACGTGCAAATCTCGTGCTGACTTCTTCGACACACCCAGTGCTGCACTGAGCCTTGTGTTTAACGAACTCACACAACTGCTGCTCTGATCTCTGACCTCGGAGTCCAGGATAAACCCTGGAGCAATTTCCACAACCAACCTCCCCACCACTGCCCAAAGCAGTTCTGGTATCAGGCACATACCCTGAACTGCCAGATGGAGATTTGAGTTATGGGAGCCAGATCACACCCTCCTCAGTCCACTGGAAGATACTCCCAGTCATGCAGGTGCTGACAAAGCCATATTGTTGCATGCTGAGAATGATAAATAGAGGAGGGGTGGGTGAACCTGGGAGGGTCTGCTCCTTCACTGCTAACTGCACACATACCAGATGGGGGGGGGGTACACACTGAGTGTGGGGGGTGGGGCTTCAGGGTTTCTAACAAAGATCTCCCCGCCTTGGAGCTATAAACTCCAATGTCCACCTAACCTGCCCCATCCCGGCTTGGAAAGCAGAAACATTGGACAGATCTCTATGTATTATCCATAGCTTTGTGTTTTCAAGTGTAAATCTTTTCTCTTCTCTCTCCCTCTCTCTCTGATTTTACCTTGCCTTTGGTCCGGACAACCAGAAAGCCCTTTGTCCTCCCTAGTGTCTCGGAGCCCCCTTGTTACCATAGCAACAGCTTAAGCGCCTTCCTTTGGAAATGAACTGGAAATGAATGGGAAGCCTGTTCTTCTACCACACTTGTTGCATCTACGGCAGGT